ACTCATAGCAGGTCTTTGCTCAGTATCTGGTAGATCTCCTTCACTACCCCCCGCCCTCCGCTTCCTAATGCCAACACAGAACTTAGAGGAAATTTCCTCTAGCAGAAGGCAGAGAAGTGGAGAAGCTCTAAACATCAGAGTAATCCTCTAAAGGATTACTGAACTCAGGGTTTAAAGGGAGGGAAAGACTTACACTGCAGGAGTGATAACCAGGCTACTGCTGACCTAGAACTTTTCTTCCGGAGGAGTCTGGCATGCATGGTCCATCTTTGTAAGCTCCCAGCATAAAGGAAGCCCCAGGACAGAGAATGGACAAGACCTGAGGGCCCATTCAGAGTCCTTAGAATTGATGTCTCCAGGAGAGTGTGTCCCCAGCACCTCTGTGCACATCACCAGAGATGAACTGGATTTTCTAATGCCCTCATGTCATGGAATTCAAGCATGATGACAGCAGTGGCTAAGTCACACAATCGGTAAACCAGTAGCCAGTTGAACGTGTGCAGCAGATATATTTTCAGTTGATAACTATCTCATCGTGGCTTCATTAATGGATGTTCACAGAGCATTTGCGATGCCTGGGTGAATGGCCCTCTGAAAGAGACAAGTGCCCCTCTTCCACTAGCAATGGTAGTTTAAGACGTTCATATCGGAAAGTGTGATAGATCTCAGAAGGTTAAATTTACTGAACGTGTACACGAGAATTAGTGCCCTTGTGTGACCCCCCCACCTCTCTCCCTACCCCTTCTTTCCTCCTTCCTCCTTTCACAACATCAGAGTTCTGATAGAACTGCTTTTGTCAAAATAAGGCTCTCATAGACTCAAAACATTGGACCCTTAGACTGAGAACTAGACCGTGGGACTGGGAGCTCCATGGTGACAGGCACGTGTCTGTCTCACTCATAGCTTCACCCCAGTCCCTAGCATAGGACTGCCTGCACCAACCAGGAGCCTAACAAATTTTGGTAGAACGCATGAGTGCAGCGTGTTAGACTCTTCATCACAAAGTTAGGCCCTGGTCTCTCAATGTCAGGGTCACAGCCAATTAGTCCCCCAGCTTCTTGGACTGAAGGATCTAGAGAGGTGAGAGGCACTCACATTGCTCAGGTGCAGAGCTGAGACTTCATGGGCTTCTGTGAGTCTCTCTCTTCGCTATAGGAGGGGAGGGAGGGATGGACAGGGTGAAGGGAGAAAGGGTGCAGGCATCCAGGGACCCTAATGAGCTGGGACAGCAATGGAAGCCCTCATTCTCAAGGACCCCAGAACCCCTCCATGCCCCTGCCCTGCCCCAACTATACCCTCCCTAGGGCCAGGGAGCTCAGGTCAGCTCTGGGACTTGGGGGGACCCAGAAGACAGGCTGTGACCTTGGTTGACTTAGGCTGCATTCTTCCCTCTCCCCTACCTCCACTTCCTCCACCCCTCTCCCCACCACCTCTCCAACCTTGGGAAATTCCATCAGGAAATTTTGGCAGAGTGTCAAAGGAGTTCTCTCATGGGATGAGAATCTGGACTCTTTCACTGAATGGTTGTTCCTCACAATCCACCTTCCATTCCCTTTCAAAAGCTCCATGGAACTCACAGATTAGGGGGTCATCACTTCACAGGGCAGGGTGAACAGGCCAAGATGATGGAGAGAGAGATTCAGTGGGTGGCCAGGCCCTGATCCTCTTTGGGTCACAGTTTCCCTGTCTGGAAAGTGAGCTTTGCATTAGACGGGCTCTGAGACCCCTTAGAGCTCCAATATCCTATGACTTCCTTTTTTCTTTTTTTTTAAATTGAACTCACTCCTTAGCAATGTGGCCTTAGGTGAGCCACTGAAGCAAAGCCCCTGCTAGCTCATCTATGACATGGGTACATTACCAGAGGTCACCTGTCAGCTAGAGTGGATTTTCACCCAATATACCTATTGCTGCTCGTTCATTGGGTCCACCATACAGGCAGCTCAGGGCACTTCGTTATGAGTTCTGATCTTGGTTTCTGAAGTCTGGCTTTGGGATCCAGCCTCACCAATGACTAGCTGCATAACAAGTAGCTTAAACTCTCTGACCTTCAGTCTCCTCATCTGTGAAAAATGAACTTAACAGACACCTACTCCCCAGGATTGCCAGGAGACCGTATCTGCGAGCTCATAGAGAGTGTTAAGTACTCGGTCAATGCCAACTGTCACTTTGTGGTTGGCTGAGAGCCCCAGGGGTCAAGGTAACCACAATGGCCTGGAGCAAGTCACCAGCTCAGAGACGGAGTCAGAACTCTCTTTGAATGCAGACCAGTTCTCAAGGCCCAGGGAGCGACACCAAGGCAGCAGCGAGCACAAAATGTTCTTGACACCTCCCGCCGCCACCAACATCCCTGCCCCACTTGCCCTTGGACCATATTCTGAGAAGCCCAGGACCCCATGGACCAATGCTCCTGCAAGGGCCTGAGTAAGCTCTGGAGGGAACCTGCCTGACAGGACCCGTCCTTCCCTGGTCTGTCCTTCCCTTCCCAGTCTGTCCCTGCTGGGCTCACAGAGGCCAGCCTTCCCTGGGAGGCAGAAGCAGGTCCTGCTCACTGCTTTGCTGGTTCAGAGAAATGTCTGTTTCAGCTAGGTGGCAGGAGGTGCCCTCCAGGGTTACAGGCCCCTGAGCCAAGTGGCCCAGCTCCCCCAGGGCCAATTACAGGAGAACTACCACCTTGACCTTGGTTGGTCCAAGTGTACATGTGCCTTACGGAAGTCATGCTTTGGGCCTGTCAATGTGTGTGCACCGAAGTACCGTGACACACCCAGCGGCCCCGTCCCAAATCACCCTGCCTTCTGAACCTTTGCTTAAGCTTCCTCAGTTGAGACTCGTGCCATTCACTGGGTGCTAGAATGGCCCTAGTATAGCAGTAATGAAATGCCCCACGGAGTGAGTGTCGCTGTGTTCTAGGCCAAGAGCTACTGGTGTTGTCTCCTTAAATTTGGCCAGCTAAGCCCCAGGAAGTGGCTCTGTTATTTTATCCCCATTTGACAGCTGGGCAAACTGAGGTTCTGAGAGTAATTTGCCCAGGGACACACACAGCCAGGAAGTGGAAGAGCAGAATTTAAACCCAAACCTACTGGGCTCCAAATTTTAACCTCCTGAGTGGGCAGCCTCCACTCTGCCTGCCAGATCCTGTGTTCCCTGAGGGCTGGGACTGCTTCTGGTGCAGCCCAGGCTTCCTCCAGAGCCCGGTGCAAGGCCCAGAATCTGATTGATATCTAGCTGGCATTGAATGAATACAGTGTTCTACTGAGAGAATCAGTTCAGTGAGAAGCCCTTCAACCCTCAGCCACAACCAGACAAGGGGGACCCCAGGTGCTGGAGAGTTTTGACATCACACTCCACCCCCGATGCTGGACAGGACCCAAGTGTGTAAACTAGAATGTAGAGGTGGTAATAGGGAGCCGCAGATGGTCTGGGAGCAGGGAGTGACGCAATGCCTAGGGGTGGGGAGGAGGAACACTGCTTACACCACACAATTGGGTGCCGGTGCCGCGGGAGGCAACAACCCAGTTCTTTTGAGAATTGGGAAGCCACCAGGGAAGGCGAGGACAGGCACAAGTGGAGACATTTTCTTCCCAAGTCACAGCAAATAGTCAGCCCTCACTGCAGGGCCTGGCCCCAGCCATACATCGGCATTCTTGGAGAGAGGGGAATGGTCAGCAGGGAGGACCGGACATTAAGGTTTGGGAAAACGGGGCCCTTCCACCTGCTTTCCGAGGCAGAGAAGGGAACTGCGGAGGCAAGGCGATGATCCAGAGAGCACGGGCTGGGGCGCACCGGCGAGGGTGCACAGGCCAGAGCGCTCCAGCTGGGGTGCACAGGCTGGGGCGCTCGGGCTGCCGGGCAGGCGGCCGGGCACCCGCTGGGGCGCAGGACCCAGGGC